TGCTTGGAAAAAATGTGAGCAGCTTTATAGTTAGTCCTTCATACAGTTGCCCTTTGTGGGGAAGAGTTTTAGCTGGAACTAAGTTCTTAAATGTTTCAGACATCAAAAATGGAGATCTTGAGCTTCAGTAAGTAATGCATGACAGTTCAGGCAGGAGACAGAGCTCCTAACTTTTTTAAAATATTGGCATGAAGGTTTTAGTGGTCGTCCTTAGTTTTTGCTTTTGTTTCAAAAATAATTGAGACATTGGGAAACACTTGTTCTGAGAATAACAGAGTTTTTTAAAAAAATTGAACTGTAGGGGCTGAGTCTCTTCAATCTGTGGGCAAACAGTTCATAGGATTTTGAGGTTCCAGTGAAAAGCGCAGGTTACCAATAGCAGAATTAATTCTAAGTAAATGCCTTTAACAATCTTTAAAATGCTAAAATGAAAGAAAATGAAGTATGTCTCTACAGGCGAAGGACCAGATTATCTTCTAGGTAGACTGTTTAATTAAAGACATAGAAAGCCAGGAGCCTTTTTGCTGCTGAAGATAATAATAACCTGGTTAATTTGTAAAATCTGGCCCACTGAGTTGCACAATTGCAGGTTTTGAAGCTCTTGCTAAAATAAGAGTATTCCTGGAGCTTAATAGGCATGTTCTATGTCAAAGAACTATCTAGTGTAATAGTCACAAGGTTTAGGGTGTGAAGGTGCTAGTAACAAATATTACTGAAGCTCTGAGTAGGTCTCTCTGAGGCTGTATGACTTGCAGACTCTGGTGGATGCTCTAGAATCTAGAGCTGCCTGGTTGCACAGGGTACCTGTCACACAGGGTACAGTGTTCCACTTGGTGTGGGTTCTGTTTCCCTTCTCTAATCTCATGAAAGGACACAAGGGACTTCAGAGGAGCACATGTATTTTTTGTGACCAGGAATTAGTAGTAATCACTTGGAGGAATTAGATAGCAGACTGGTTCATGGAAGTACTTGGGAGATGAGAGCCAAAGAGAAGGTGCAGCACTAAGCAGCTTGTTGCCTTGGTCTGCTGGTTTGAAGAATTTGAACCTTCTGGGGCAGTGGAATACAGACATTTAATTCTGATATCAGATGTACAGGTTGGCCAGCAAAAGAAAAAGTTGGCTGCACTTTTGAATTTTTGGACAATAGTATTTAAAGGGATTGAATAATCTCAGCTGTTATATGCTAAACAAATGTGATTGAAACATTTTTAAGAAAAGTCAGCCAAAAAGGAGATTGTACAATGGTCAGAGTCCACGAAGTTCTCTAGTGAACTAATGTAGTATCCATCACATAGAGTTTGGGAGTTTCAGGCTTCTCATGTTTTAATCTTGCAATATTTTAATATTTAGTTTGACATCATCTGTGCAATATTTTTATCAAGACTGGGTATCTAAATACAGGAACCTGCTGTGTGAAGCTATGCACATTTTGGC